AATCATAAATGCTTCCTGAGCCTCAGCTTCCTCAGCTCTCTAATGGGCATGGTAATATGCTTCCCATTTCTTCAAGAGGTTATTATTAAGATCAAATCAAATGAAGAATGTGAAAGTGCTTTGCAGTTGTGCTACACAGTCTGAGACAGGTGAGAGCCTGGGAAGAGTATAAATAAACTCAAAATCTCAAAGCTCTTTCCTTAGCACCAGACCTGAATTTTTAACTGCTTTTAAAGTATCCTCCAGACTCTTCAAACACATATCTAAAACCAAACTAGCTTTCTTTGCTCCAGCTATCTACTGCTGTGTAACAAGCTATCCATCACTGTGGCTTAAAATAATAACAATAATTTATTGTGCCCATGAACCTGGGGGTAGACGGTGCTCAGCACCTTGGGTATCTCGTGTGTATGCAACCAGAACATGGCGAGGCCTGGGGTTATTTCTAAAGCTTCTTACTCACGTGGCTGGTGCCTAGACTGAGCAAGACTCAAACAGCTTGTTGGCTGAGCTTCTTCACAGAAGCTGAAGCCTCCCAAAGTGAGTGTCCTAGAAGAAACAGGCAAATGCTGCATGGTCATTTCTAACCTAGCTTTGCAAGTCACACTTCTGCTGCATTCTGTTCATTGAGGTAACCATCAAGGGGGAAGGGACATAGACTCTACCTCTTGATGGGAGGAGTGTCCAAAAATCTGTAGACTTTAAGGAAGTTATTATAGTTGCTATTCCTCAGCTCTTTCTTGTTTCAACAAATGGCATTTCTATGTCTAATTGCCCAAGCCAGAATTCTAGGAGTTATCCTCACCATCTTTGTTTTCCCTTGCCTCTCACAGCCAATGAATTAATCATGTTAATCTGGCTTTCAAAAATATCTCTCAAATATATCTAATTCCTTCTACCTCCACCACCAGATCAAGCTACTTATTGTAGATCAAGAAACAATTTTCTCTAATCCAATTACTACAATAGTTTCCTTATTTTATTTTTTAATTCTATTTTCTGTCCTTTTTATTCTACTGTCTTTGTCTAGCCTAAACCTCACACTGCTGTCAGTAAAAATTTTCTAAAAATGGTTATCTGTGTATTATATTCTTCTTTTAAAGACTCTTCAATAGCCACCATGGTTACTGGGAGAGTTACAGCAGAAACTCTGAGCAAGAAGTTCACACTTACTAAACAGCCAGTTCTTACCCTCCCCTAGTCTATGCTCTAACTGAACTTTACTTTCACTTCCTTAAATGAATCTTGCTTTTGTGGTCTCTGGGCACTTGATGCTATTTTTACTTTTTCCCCTCTGGTTGGAACACTCATTACTCCCAGACCCCATCTTCCCCTGGCTAATTTCTACAATGCCTACTCACACTTCCTATGGAAGCCATTCCTAATCCCTAAATTCAAGTGACAAGCTCCCTTTTTTGTGCTCTCTTGGCATACCGTGTTTTCCTTATCCTAACATTATCACTAACAGTGGAATCATTGATTAATTGTCTGTATCCACTAGAGCAGAAGCTCCAATAGAAGGGCAGGAGTTAACATTTATCTTATTGTAATGTGTGGTGCCTGTCACAGAGCCTTGACCCATTGCAATCTGGCCTATTAAACTCATTAGACTTCACATCTGGGAAATGGTAACCTGTTCATCTTGTCATCCATGGTACAAATCTGGGGTCTTTAGATCTATTGCCAAATCACTTCCTTAAGATAGGAAGCAGTTCAAGGTGGTGGTGTAGGAAGATCCTGACTTCATCTCCTCCTACAGACACAAGAAATTTACAGCTATATATAGAACAGCTCCCTCTGAAAAGAACCCGAGAACTAGCTGAACAGCTACCCCACAATACAGGATAAAAGGGCCACATGAGATGGGTAGGAGAAGCAGAGATGCAGGCTTGCCAAAAACCCCATCCCCAGCATGGTGACCCACCATGGGAGCAATCCCACAAATATAGAACTCCTCCCTGAGGAGTGAGTGGTTTGTGTCCCACATCAAGCACCCCAACCGTTGGCACCTGCACTGGAGAAATGAACCCCCAAATGTCTGGTGTATTGAAAAGAAATGGGGCTTATACTCAGGGGAACCATAGTACTATAAGGAATGGAGATTCCACTCTCACAGGGCTTGTGTGCAGACTCATTCACCCAGGACCCAGCAGAAAAGTAAGAGTTTGAAAAGCCCTTATATCACACATGAAGGAGATTCACTTGCTGATTTTGAAGCATCTGCCAGAGGGGCCAGTCTTTTGGGCCTCTCCAGGGATGGAGGCACTAGGCAGTGCCTTTTAAACATTCTCCCTCTACCTCGCTAGTGCTGGTGTGGCAGGTGCAGTTTTTTGAACTGTCACTCTAACCTGCTAGTGCCTGTCTCCTCACCCCAAACCCCTCCACTGCCACAGCCTGTCAGAGGTGGCAGGTAAGAGTCCCATTGATCTGAAACAATTCAAGAGACAGTTCAAGAGAAAACCAAGAACTAAGGCATGGTTAAACAGTAATGTTCATCACCCATACAAGGCCACCTCTTCAAGACTGGGAGAGAGAGCTGTTTCACCCAATACATAGAAACAGACACAGGGTCAAGCAATGAGGAAAACAGGAAAAAATAGGAATATGTTACAATTGAAATAACAAGATAAAACCCCATAAAAAAAGCTAAACAAAGATAAATAACCCATCTGATAAAGAGTTCAATGTAATCATCATATACTCATTGAACTTGGGAGAAGAATGAACACAGAGAGAACATTAACAAAGAGATAGACTAGATAAGAAATTACCACACAGAAGTCACAGAGCTTAAAAATACAATAACTGGAATGAAAAGTACATGGGTTCAACAGCAGACTGGATAAAGCAGAAGAAAGAATCAATGATCCAGAAGACAGAGCAGCGGAACTCCCCAGACAGCAGCAAAAAGTAAAAATAATTTTAAAAAGTGGAGATAACTTAAGGGACCTGTGGGATAGTATCAAGTAGATTAACATTTGCATTATAGGGTTTCCAGAAGAAGAAGAGAGAGAAAGGGGCAGAAAACTTATTTGAATAAATAAGGGCTGAAAACTTCCCTAACCTGGGGAAGGAAACACATCCAGGAAGCCCAGAGAGCTCCATGCAAGACCCAGAAAGACCTACACCAAGATACATTATAATCATAATGTCAAAAGTTAAATAGAGACTCTTTAAATCAGCAAGACAAAAGAACTTGTTATGTATAGGGAGCCCCCATAAAACTGTAAACAGATTTCTGAGAAGAAACTTTGCAGGACAGAAGGGAGTGGCATGATATAATCAAAGTGCTGAAAGGAAAAAACTTCCAACCAAAGATACTCTACCTAACAAGGTTATCATTAAGAATTGAAGGACAGTGTTTTCCAGACAAACAAAACTAAAAGAGTTCATTACTAAACTGGCCCTACAAGAAATGTTAAAGGGACCTTTTTAAGCTGAAATGAAAGGGCATTATTTAGCGATAAGCAAATATAAAAGTAAAAATCTCATTGGTAATGGTAAATACATAGTAAAGGAAATGGATTAATCACATATAAAGCTAGTTTGTAGGTTAAAAGACAAAAGCAATAAAACAACTATAACTGAGATAATTCATTAAGGGTTACATGAAATAAAAAGATCTAAAAGGTGACATCAAAAATATAAAACTTGGGGGGGGGGTGAGTAAAAATGCAGTTTTAGAATGTGTTTAAACTTAACTTGCTATCAACTTAAAATAGACTGTTAAATATAAAGGCTATTATATATAAATCTCATGTTAACCACAAAGCAAAATCCATAATAGATACACAAAAGATACTGGGAAAGGAATCTAAGTATGACACTACAGAAAGTCTTCAAACCATAAGAAAGAAAGCAATAGAAACAAAAACAAATGGGACAACATCAAACTCAAAGCCATCTTCGTAGTGGTGGGAACCATCAACAAAATGAAAAGGCAACCTACTTGAGTGGCAGAAGACATTGGCAAATCATATGTCCAATAAGGAATAAATGTCTAAAATATATAAAGAACTCATATTGCTCAATAACAAACAAACAAACCAAACAACCTAATAAAAAAATGGGCAGATAATCGGAATAGACATATTTCCAAAAGAAGGCATACAGATAGCCAGCAGGTCCATGGAATGATGCTCGACATCACTAGTCATCAGAGAAATTCAAATCAAAACCATAATGAAAGATCACTTCATTCTTGTGCTGATATCTCAGTAACAAGTGTTGGTGAGGATGTGGAGAAAAGGGAACCCTGGTGCGCTGTTGGTAGGAATGTAAATTGGTATAGCCACTGTGGAAAACAGTATGGAATTTCCTCAAAAAGTTAAAAATAGAACTACTATATGATCCAGCAGTTCCACTTGAGGGTATCTGAAGAAAACAAAAATATTAATTCTAAAAGAAACATGCACCCCTATGTTTATTGTAGCATTATTTACAATAGCCAACATATGGAAGCGACCTAAGTGACCATTGATGGATTAATGTATAAAGAAGATGTGATACATATATGTAATGGAATATTACTCAGCCATAAAAAAGAATGAAATCTTGTCATTTGCACAAACATGGATGGACCATGAGGGTATTATGCTAAGTGAAATAAGCTAGAGAAAATCAAATACTGTATGATTTCACTTATGTGTGGACTCTAAAAATCAAAACAAATGAACAAACAAAACAAAAATGATTTTGACGAGAGAATAGATTGGTGGTTGTCAGAGGGAGGAGGGTAGAAGGTTGGTGAAAGGTCAAGAGGTACAACTTCCAGTTATAAAATAAATAAGTCATGGGGACGTACTGTATAGTATAGTGACGATAGTCAATAATACTGTATCATAAATTTAGAAGTTGCTAAGAAAGTTAAACCTTAAAAAAGTTTTATCACATGAAAAAAATTTGTTTTATAACTTTGTATAGTGATAGATGGTAACTAGACTTACTGTGGTGATCATTTTGCAGTGTATACAAGTGTCAAATCCGGCTCTCATTGACAGGTCATTCAGAACGACTGGTGACTGCCCTCTCTGGAAGCAACGTGAGCCTGCAAATCCACAATCTGCCTAAAAACTACCAACAACTCACCTGGTTTTACACTACTAACCAGAAGATTGTAGAATGGGAGTTCAACAAGACTAATTACTTCAATTTTAAATTTAAGGACAGGGTCATGCTTGACCATCAAAGTTTTGCACTGTACATCTATAAGGTGCAGAAAGAGGACAGCAGCACCTACCTGGTGAGGGTGTTGAAGGAGGCTGGGGACGAGGAGGAATGGAAGGTCACCCTGCAGGTGTTTGGTGAGTCTGGGGAGCCAGAGGGGAGGTCCTCGCTTTGGAGCCTGCGATGGGCCATTGGGGGGCTTCTCTGGGAGAAGAGCAAAACCTCAGGACAGGCTTAATTCATTTTTCCCGGAGCCAATTCTCCAGCAGACCCAGATCGATAGCCTTGGGACATTGAAAACTTCTGATGTTAGTGAGTCTACGATTTGAAAAGAGGGCAAACAATAGGGATGGTTTGCCTTCTATTCTCTTCATGCTTTCCTGTGTGCAACCAAAATCAGTTCTGAGCTCATCTTAATAATGTATCTGAACAAAAAACTTCATCAGACTTAAGGAAAAAGAAGAGATAAAGGATGGGGAAGGAACTACTAAAGGAGGGTATTTTTTTTTACCTTTTAAAATGGGTGAGATTAAAAACTTGCCCTCATAGCACCAGCTGAGCCAGTATATATGGAATAGGACATTATACTTGGTGTCAGACAGACCCGGGTCCAAAACTCTGGTCAGAAATAACTTACCAGCTGTGTGACCTTGGAGAAAGATGTTAACATCTCTGTGCCCATATTAGGTCAATTTCCTTGGATGGCAAGTAACAGAAAACGATTTGATGTACCTTTAGCAAAAAAAAGGAGATTTTTTTTGGAAGGAACTAGGGCTGTTTAAAACAATTCAAGGAATTTAGAAGAGTCAGGAAGGGCTGAACACATGGAATAATGAGAATCAGGATCGGTCCAGAGCCCCTAGAATAAAGCAGAAATGTGACTCCCAGGAAGGCTTCCGTGGGACTGAGGTTGGCAATTACTACAGAAGAGGCTCCAAGCAGACATCCAGGAGGGGGCTCACCTCAGAGCCGGGGTTCCTTGTCAAATTATGAGGATAAGTCTCTCTCTCTCTCCACCTTTCAGGATGGTATGAGAATGAGCATCAAAGGAGATAATGAAAGTGCAAACATCTTTAAAATGCTAAAACAGTGCAAATAAGGAGTGTGTATAAGGTCCCACCAGCCGGAAGGTCCCTGTTCTAAGAGGCTAGAGTCCCCTCATTGCTCACTTCCTCCATATCGTATGACCTGAAAATTCAGGAGGTCCTGGAAACAGGAAAGATTCAAAATTTCTTAGAGTGATGTTAAAAAATGGCACCCAAATTTGTATCATTTACCAATTTCTGTGATGAATATTCCCACTGCAGTCATTTCCAAGCTACCAATGGTTAAAAAGCCAACTTGCAAAATTTCTGGGTATTGTCAAATCCACAGGCTGGTGTGACTTCGGCACATCTGCCTGAAGACAAGACACTGAGGATATGATTAGCAGGTGAAGCGTCCTTCCGCCCAGCCCAGGAATTTCTGACAGCTTGCAGGGGGCATCTTGGAGTCCAACTACCCCAGCAGGCTCAATACTCAATAAATCTCATCCACAAGCACCTGGTGCTGGGTTTCTCGCCTTGGGAAATGGGGAAGCTATGTAAGACATGACGCCAGACCACAAGAAACGGCAAAAAACAGTATGAAAATTGCTCAGTTAAAGTGTGCAGGGGGAGTCCAGCCATCTGAGAGGTTTTCACAGAGGAGACTGATGCGGAGCTGGGGAAGCCAGCCTGGTAGGTCTCCCATCACCTGCCCGCATGTAGCCACCCAGGGCAAGCTCTGATTTGGTCAGTTCTGTCACATTTTGATCCTGTGATGTCTGAGTTGCATTGATTCTACTGGTGTTTTACCCTTGACCAAAATGAAAAGATCCCAGGGATTTCAGGGAAAGCCACCCATCTGGCGGCAGGACAAGAACAGTGAGGGGGATGTGGCCTCCAGCACACACATGACCCGCTCGGCCGCGGCGCTTCCCTAAGGACAAAGCCGGTTTAGGGGGCTCACCTCAGAGCCGGGGTTCCTTGTCAAATTATGAGGATAAGTCTCTCTCTCTCTCCACCTTTCAGGATGGTATGAGAATGAGCATCAAAGGAGATAATGAAAGTGCAAACATCTTTAAAATGCTAAAACAGTGCAAATAAGGAGTGTGTATAAGGTCCCACCAGCCGGAAGGTCCCTGTTCTAAGAGGCTAGAGTCCCCTCATTGCTCACTTCCTCCATATCGTATGACCTGAAAATTCAGGAGGTCCTGGAAACAGGAAAGATTCAAAATTTCTTAGAGTGATGTTAAAAAATGGCACCCAAATTTGTATCATTTACCAATTTCTGTGATGAATATTCCCACTGCAGTCATTTCCAAGCTACCAATGGTTAAAAAGCCAACTTGCAAAATTTCTGGGTATTGTCAAATCCACAGGCTGGTGTGACTTCGGCACATCTGCCTGAAGACAAGACACTGAGGATATGATTAGCAGGTGAAGCGTCCTTCCGCCCAGCCCAGGAATTTCTGACAGCTTGCAGGGGGCATCTTGGAGTCCAACTACCCCAGCAGGCTCAATACTCAATAAATCTCATCCACAAGCACCTGGTGCTGGGTTTCTCGCCTTGGGAAATGGGGAAGCTATGTAAGACATGACGCCAGACCACAAGAAACGGCAAAAAACAGTATGAAAATTGCTCAGTTAAAGTGTGCAGGGGGAGTCCAGCCATCTGAGAGGTTTTCACAGAGGAGACTGATGCGGAGCTGGGGAAGCCAGCCTGGTAGGTCTCCCATCACCTGCCCGCATGTAGCCACCCAGGGCAAGCTCTGATTTGGTCAGTTCTGTCACATTTTGATCCTGTGATGTCTGAGTTGCATTGATTCTACTGGTGTTTTACCCTTGACCAAAATGAAAAGATCCCAGGGATTTCAGGGAAAGCCACCCATCTGGCGGCAGGACAAGAACAGTGAGGGGGATGTGGCCTCCAGCACACACATGACCCGCTCGGCCGCGGCGCTTCCCTAAGGACAAAGCCGGTTTGTCTTGCTAACGTGGTGCTGTGAGTTAGACTCGTCTTACAGATGAGAGGGAAATGCCAGGGGTTAATTATCTTGCCTGCTGTCACCCCTCCACAGCCACGGCCAGCACCGGAGGCTGGTCTTACTTCAGAGCTGGTGTTCTGTCCTTTCTGTCTCGGAACTGCCCCATCCATCCATCCTTTTGTCAGGTATTTATAAAGTATCGGCCCTGTGGCAGGCACCGGACTCAACACAGAGATACCAAAGTCAACAGACGCGGTGCTGTTTGCCGCGGATGATGTGTGCGGGGGGGAGGGAGGGGTTTCCACGATGCGCTCCGTAGCTCTGCCGAGGCCCAGGAAAGGGCTTTGCCGTGTGCAGGGAAGCAGCTCTCACCTGGGACTCCTGCTAAATCTGAGCCCAAGAGCTCCCGAAGGACAGACGGGCCAAGGTGCCAAACGTGGGCTGTTGCCAGGGGAGGGCCTTAAGCCGCTCAGGCAGTCGGTGTGCCCAATCCGACGCAGCCCATCTCTGCGCTCAGACTGCGGTTCCTTCTGAGCCACGGTCATAACCCCATTCTGTTTCTGGGTGCACAGCTCCCCCTTCTGGTTCCAGTTCTGCTTCACCCCGAGGAGTAACTTCCAGTCTGAAGCTGCCCGAAGTCAAAGCTGCTGGCTGGTTCCCTCTGCGGCGAGCGGCCTCTTGTCCGTGTCTCTGCTCCCGACGGCACGCAGGGGCCCCTCTCCTGCTCCCTTCGTCCTTTGTTCGTCCTTTGCGGCATAAACAGCTCATAACTGTGCACAGCTATTGTCTCACAACATCCTCCTCCTCTTCAGATCCTGTACCCAAGGCTGCCATAAAAATCGAGAATACACGAGAAGTGGACAATAACTGTGATCTGAAGCTGTCGTGTGCGGTTCCAGAGCAGTCTGTGCGCTACACCTGGTATGGGGACTCAGGGCCCATTTTAAAAGTCCGTCAAAGTGCTGTGCTTGAAATCACTGTTACACCGTCGAATTACTCCAGGTTTTACACCTGCGAAATCAGCAATCCTGTGAGCAGCGAGAATGACACCGTTTACTTCACATTACCTTGTAAACTGGGTAAGAAATATCGCTAAGGGAACTGGGGTGGGCACAGGGTAATAGTTTTCTCTTGCATGAAGAAAGGTGTGGGGATCCTGTTCAGCCTCCTGGCACAGATCTTGTTGGAGAATCTCACGATCTTGGGGCTTGGTTTCTGCTCGTGTCTTTGCCACCATCTCTCAGCAAGCTCATCTGGCCTTCACGGAGCTCCGGGTCCTCGTCTGCAAAGGGCGGTTGGCACAGGATGTCCCCTTCAGCGCCCCTGCTCTAACAATGCTTGGTCCTAGAATCTGAGACCAGGGTAATTGCTGGGCAATCTGAGGCATCAGGGTGGGCAAGGAGAAAGAGCCCAGGTGGGAGAGCAGCCCAGCCATTGCTGAGCAGGTGCACAGAGGGGTTTCTGGTTGACAGACCAATTCAGCAAAGGAAAGAAGGGCCAAGTACATAAGCATGACTGAGAACAGGAGTGAAAGACTTACCCGGAAGGAGAGGCTGTTCTCCCAGTGTGAGCGCCCTGATGAACTGAGAAAGACGTACAGTGGGTCTCACATTTCAGGTCCCTCTGTCTCCTGGGAGGGCCCACTGGCTCAAGCATCACTCCTGGCTCTCTATCAAGCGTACACAGGTCTAATGGCCAGGCAGCTAAGATCGGGTTGTAAGATCATAGGTTTTGGAGACAGATACCTGAGATTAATCCTGGGATTGTCACTTACCAGCTAAGCAAGCTACTTAGCTTCTTCCAGTGATGTTCTTACATAACACACAAAATGACAGGAATTACCTCACACTGTTATAAGGATTAAATGAGACAGTACAGATAACCTACCCAGCACAATGCCTGACAAGTCTTCAGTGAATTGTAGCTAACTTAGGTCCAGTCCCTTCGATTCTGGAAGTCCTAGGGATTTTAGGGATCGCTTAATAAACTCGGATCACCACCTCCAGCATTCTGGGCTTTGTTCTCTCCATATCCCTGAAATCACATCCCCGAACCTTGGTGCACATATCCTTCCAGAATAACTCGTACCTGTGGTGCCAGTCTTTACCTGAGACCCTTGTTGTGCCCAGTCATCTGGGACCATGACCCCATGGAAGTGGGCTCGTGGACCAAGTCTCCTGTCCCACCTGTGCTGCTATCCTGCCCTCTGCTCCCACGTGAGGACTGTGGTACCTGCATGCTCTTTGTCCTCCCCAGCTAACTGCCCATGTCTCTTCTAGTCCTTCCTGATGTGACCAGCTCTTCCGCCACCGCAGACCCAGTGTGACAGTGTGGGGTCTGACCATGAGCCCACAGGTGGCTGGGCTGCTCCAACACCACCTTCATGTCACCTTCCCATCCTAAGATCCAGAAAAAGGAAGAGACACTCTCCTTGTCCTTTATTAACTGAGGCTGACTGTTCATCTGCAAAGAGGATAAAAAACAATAATAGACCCCTTTTGTCTGGGAGGACTAAACTGTCCTTTATCCTGGAAAAGCATCCCTTATCTCCCTTCCCCGTTTTATCACTCTTTTTTCTTCTTTTCTGCTTCCTTCCCTCCTCTAGTCTTACTCCCTTCTCTCCCCTTCCCTTTCCCCCTCCCACTGGGTATAGATGGCTAATAGGGTGGAGAAACGGAGGGGAAGTACTTCCTTCCCTAAGTCAGCTGCACCTGGCATTATACGGTCATGTGTCTATGCCTGAAGCTCTGCCCATGTCAGCTGCACCTGGCATTATACGGTCATGTGTCTATGCCTGAAGCTCTGCCCATGTCAGCTGCACCTGGCATGATACGGTCATGTGTCTATACCTGAAGCTCTGCCCATGTCAGCTGCACCTGGCATTACATGGTCATCTGTCTATGCCTGAAGCTCTGCCCATGTTA